CTGCAATTTAGGATTTCTGCAGTACAGGGTGAATTTTCAAGAGTGCATCAGAGAGGGAGCCAGACTTAAAAATAACCTTTACTCATCTTATTAACCATTTCATTGCTGAACTGGTTTTTAAGGCTGGGCCAGCAGGCTTTTTCTTCTCTAAACACCACCAAAATTGTTAGAGCTGCCTGTGACAGTTTGTATAAGGGCAGCACTTCTCTAAGTCTGGAATGACAGCGGAATCAATGTTATGAATCATTACGGACAGAACTACCGAAAAGTTCCTGCATTCTTCACTGTACCGTGTTTGAGGGTGGGAAGGAAGGGAAGGGATTAGGGAAGAAGGAAAAGAGAAATCTGGCGGCCAAAGGAGTGAAGAAGCCCTTGTTCTGGTTTGTACTGATCTTATTTAAGCATGTGGAGAACTGATGAGTCTGTGATTATTTTAATGACCATGAAACCTGTGCATTCAAAGAAATAAATTAAGCTATGTAATCACCTTCCAAGTAATATCAAAGAACCATAAAAGGGCCAGGGGGAGGAGTGTCATTGTGTACTAGTATTTCCATCCGACAGGGCACCGCAGGCAAAGGTAAACCAGGGGTGGAAGTCTGTTCTGGGAGAGAAGAGCGCCAAATTCAACACTTCATGATCGTGACCCAAAGCAAAGGAGGGTGAGCCATTGAAGGAATTGTTGTTTTTATTTTTGGTATTTTGGCGAGACAATGCTGATGTTGGGGGTTTGTGAGTAGTTTACAAAGCAAGCAAAACTTTGAAAGCGCAACACACAATTATGCAGAGTGACAAATAGAGTCAGAGGTTGTGCACCAAGTGAGGGGTATTGTGACAATATGCTCTACATTTGAATAATAATGAAAACACACTTGCTTCAATCAAAAGACAAACTTCTGATGATCTTCAATAATGTGACATTATTGTGATGTGACATTATAACAACGTGACGGCTTGTCTGAGGGGTGACAGTAAGCAATGTGAGTCAGGGACGCTGCCCTGGAGGCTAGCAGGGAAAAGAATACACGTAGACACTCAAAGATGACTCGAGACATGACACTGTTTAACCTGAGTTGTCATTAACTGATTACAAGCACTTGTGATTTTAACAACCTTTTCGATTTCACAGGCTTGTGCAGCAGAGAGGGAGAGCCCCAGGTCTGGAGTGCGCAGACCTGGACTCCAACACCAGTTCTTCCACTTGTTTCTTTGTCTAACTCAAGAAAAATTGTTCATTGTTTCTGGGCCTCAGTTTTCTCATCTGCCAAATGGGGATAACATCATCTGTCTCCTCTGGTTGCTGTGTATTTGGGCAGGTACTTGGTAATGATAGTTATTGTCACTAATCATATTACTCTAAAAAGATAACAGAAATTCTTAGGGAAATCCTTTGTGAATCCCACAAAAATAAAACCTAGTAAAAAAATTTTAAGCCTTTCAAACCATGAGGCTTCCAATCATGCTTGTCATTAATTAACCTCTGCTACCAATAGGCTTGCCTGATAAAATAGGACACCAGTTAAAGTTAAATACCAGATAGACAACAGATTTTTTTTAAAGATTTTATTTATTTTTATTGAGGGGGGGGGAAAGAAACAGAGATAAACAGAGATGTGCAGGACATGCATCAATCAGTTGCCTGTCATGCACCCCCAAATGGGGACCTGGCCCACAACCAAGACATGTGTCCTGACTGGGATTCCAATCAGTGACCTTTCCGTTCTCAGACCAGCGCTCAATCCACTGAGCCACAGCAGCGAGAGCCAGATTATTTTTAAGTATATCCCATGCAATATTATGTTAATACTAAAAAATTATCATTTATTTAAAATTCAACTTTAACTGGTCATACAAAGACCTGAGTACATTTAAGTCCTATTGCAGGAAAAGGAAAGGAATCCTTATTTAAGAAAGTTTTGCCTTGGCTGGTGTAGCTCAGTGGATTGAGCACAGGCCTGTGAACCAAAGGGTCTCTGGTTCAATTCCCAGTCAGGGCACATGCCTGGGTTGCAGGCCAAGTCCCCAGTAGGAGACACATGAGAGACAACCACACATTGATGTTTCTCTCCCACTCTTTCTCCTTCCCTTCCCCTCTCTAAAAATAAATAAAATATTTTTTAAATTAATAGTTATTAAAAATTTAAATATCCAGAACATAACTCATCAATATAAGAAGGCAAAACAATGGCCATTTTCCCATTTTACAGTTTAGTGAGAGGCTTTTAATCTCTGACCCAGATCATGGCAGAGAGTTCCTTCTAGGTTCCCTTAGCCGGTTCTGAACAGCTATTACTGGGCCTGAAAGGGGTTCTGTTTTGTTTTGCCTTTTCTCTTTCTCTGGTGCGGAGCTCCATGGAAACTGGTTATGCAGATAGACCTGTGGAGCTGATAATATGCTGACCAATAAGACACCCAAACTGAGATGCTTTGTCAGAGGAAAGGCCCTTTCCAGTCCAGAGAGGTATTACGCAGTCAAGGGAAGATGTGTGTCCAGGCGATGTGTAGCTTGATGGAGCGTGTGGTTAAGGTTAACCAGAGTGAGTGTTCTTATGAGCATGCTTATGATATTTTGCATTTGCTTAACTAACACTTGGCATTCCTTTGTTATTTTGTGCCTGTCTAATAGGATGGCAGGCTGAAGGCCTATCACACAGTACAATGAAATTCAGAAAGTCCCATCAACAATAAAGTTCATATTAGAAGCATGAGTTTGGAACTCTTAATTTCATGAGACACTCCCTATGTACAGAGAATGCTAATGGTTTCTGATTTCACTTTGTCCACAGAAGACACCATACTGAAGTTTGCTTTCCCGCATATTTACTTGGCTTTGTGGTCACATGGTTGATAAGATACATGCTTACATACAGATTCGGGTATACTATGTGCCAAGATGCAAAAGAAAAAAAGATTTCAAAAATAAAACGAAAGTTTTGTTTTAGTGTTTAAAATGTGAAAAAGTTTTAATGTTGCAGGTTTTGCCTCTATTAGGTTCCCTCACTCATCACTGATGCAGATGTGCTCTCAAGTTCTAGGCTTTATGATAGCCCAACATTCATATTAACGCCATAAATCTCTTTGACCACTTCTAAGTACATTCGAAGGACAGGTTGGTTTTGAAAACTCTTTGTAGATATTAAGCTATCAAAGTCCCCATTTCATCTTAACTTAGAGTTTAAAACAATGTAACAAAAAAAATTGTGAATGCAATCAAGAAGCCAAAAAATGCATTAAAACTCCGTTTCCGTTGAAGGGCAGAGAAAAACCACGGGTGCCTGGGGCAGCTGGGTTTTAGAGAAACCTGGCTTCTTGGAACGTCCTGTGGGAGCAGCCGCCCCACGGCCCTGGCCATTACGCGTCAGTCTGTCAAACCAACAAACAAAAACACCACAGGCTTCAGCACAAATGGCATACGACAAATGCAGATGTACCTCTCCAAAGAACCCTTTGCTTTTTAAACACCTGCAAGAATTCCAAAACAACTGGCGTGCCTTCCACTCTGCCACGGCCACTCTCCTGACCCTGAGTTTGGAGTGGTGAAGAAAAAATGCCTAGAATGTACAGTATTCCGTTCCCACTGGGAAGAGCAGTGGGGGCTGATGAGGGACAAGTACAGTGTTGGTATCACAATGCCATGCACCTGCTTTGGGTGTAAAAAGAAAGCATTTATTGCAGAAACTGCAGTATTTTTTTTATCTCATTAAGTAGTTGTGAGCAAATTCAAGTGTGTTCCCCTTTTATTAGGTTTAACCCATCCTGAATTAAAAGGATTTATTCAGAGTTATTTTCTTTTTTCACCCAACAGGTGTGTATTGTGTTCTTTTCCCCATTAAATTGCTTTCTACATTTTGGTTTAGGCAGATGAATAATTTGCAGAATTGTTGCAAAGTAGTGTTTCTTAGATACTTAATAGCCAAAAAGTGAGATTTAGTCTATATTTTTAATTTTAAAAAGACAAGCATTTCCCAAAACACCTTTCAATAAACACTTCTATGTCTAGAAAATATATTACAGAAGAGACACCATTCATTCCTAGGAAATATTCTTGCAGTGTGACTTGTAGTTGGTATCTTTTGAAGTGCCATCCTTATAAAACCAATACTATAAAACAATGGCTAGCATAAATTAGTTTAAGGTTTAAGGTTAACAGTTGGTAGAGAACTCTCTCTCTCTCTCTATATATATATATTTAAATTTATTTATCAAATAAAATCTCTTGGGTTAGTAGTCAAACTATAAAAACAGATAGGCCACTACTATGTTATCAGAAAGAATGTCAGCAAGAGCAGGCTGCCCAGTAGCAAATTACAAAGTTTTGGCTCCCAAGAATGAGACGCCTTGTTTGCTCTTGCACATTGCAGCTGCCTCCCCTCACTACCCCTCCTTCTTGGTGGTTTATTACACACAAGCTACTAATGAATGGGAGCCGCTGTTTTACAGTACACCACACTTACAGGACTTATCTCTAGGCCTACCACAGATTTGACTGATCAACAGCAGGGCACCGCCATCATAATTCTTCCTAGAAACAGGAGCATAAAAAGGGGTTTGTTGGAGGTTGGCTGGGTCTGCAGAGAATCCTGCCCGCAGGGCTTGCCGATGCCATCACTAGCTGTTATGGTCTTTGGCCTAATAAGGTACAGAAACAAAGATTGTTCACTTATTCAAGAAGACTAAAGCACCAGAATGATGGAAAGTAGAGGCAGCAGGGCACACATCCAAGTGGGATTAAGGCCACAAGCCCAACTTTATAGGGCTGTCTGGGTGGTAGAATAAGGATCTGCCGTTGAAAATCCAGTTCAAACATAATGTATTATATGTCATTCATAGTTAGAGGTGGCTATCATTAGGAGTTAAATTGTTGTATTGTGTCCAACTGATTTTGATAAGGATTTTTATAAGCTTCTTATATATGTTACTATAACTCAGAGGCAGAGGCAGAAGGCAAACAGCAGTCTGGTAAATGAACTGACCTAGTGATAGCAGAGAACTGTATTTGGATTGCTTCTTGGCCTTTTGACAAAGATCAAGTATAGTTATCTGTTCTTATCAGTTTATCATCTGACACATCCTCTAACGTAGGACCACATGTTACCGTAAGTGGATTTTTGCAGCAGGGAGATGAAGTAGGAGCTTGCTGCATCCATTCCAGGCATTGTCCTGGTACAGTACCTTCAGGAACAGTGCACACTGTTGGGGACAAATGTGTGTGTGTGTGTGTGTGTGTGGAAGATGCTATGGTGTTTCATTTTTTTCCATCCTCTGCTTTAAAGTGATACTATTTCCTGAACATTTCTAAAGTTTCGTGTTTCTCTCATTGCAGTAAAATTTTACAATTTACATTTCCTATGCTTTGTCAAATGTTCAGATAAACATCAACAAAATGAATACGCCTATTTCCCACAAAACAAGTACACTAACTCTGTTTTATGTAAGAGGAAATATCAACGTGGGGAAGTCATTTGCTCTGTCCTGAAGTCCTTGAATGATCTAGCTGAGAATAAAATTCTTTCCCAACGTTGGGAGTATAGCAAGATTAGCAACAGCAACATATATATTATGATATTAAATTTTTCTCTGTTCTTGGATCTCACAAAAAGCTGAAATTAGAAACACATGTTATTAAAATGCTAATTTTACAATAAGCCCTGCACTTTTTTTGAGATATTGTATAGTAGTCTCTTGTATGAGAAGGACTACCTTTGGCTGAAGCTTCATTGTATATAAAATAATTTTATGTTCGCAGCGACAATAACAGTCAATTTAATTGTCTCATAATATTTGTAATTCATGAAGTTTTGATGATCTTAATACTATTTAGTAGAGTGTGATAGGGTGAGAGACTGTGGGTATAGGGGAGTAGAAGGATCGATCTTAATAGAGCCAGATCAGAGTTAATCGAGGGCGTACCACCTGGAGGACTAAAAGCCAAATGTGGCAGTTTTTCAAATAATATTCTCCCACACTGTCAAATTGCAAGTCATCATCTCTATTTCCTCTTGCACCTCCATGTTTTATATATCTTGATTTCAAATTAATTAAGTATTTAAGATTGGTGTCATAATTTTAATGTTCTCTGTAATACCTAGGACAGTGCCAGGCTTACTGTTTTACTTTATCTTTTAGTATATTCCTTTGTATCCCTTGACTTACGGCCCCTTTGGAAGCACATAAATATGCAGTTACCTGATGCTTATTTCAAAAAGCAGAAAAGTTTTACTGTGACATATGACATCAAGACCTCTTTAGACCTATTCTACATCAGGTGGAAGAATTTGAGGTCAGACAGTGTGAAATTGCTAGCTAAACTAGTTCTCTGAACTGGTACTTATTCGCTGTATGACTTTGGGCAATTCACTAAGCTCCTCTGAGCACCATTTTGATCATTTATAAAATAGGGGTACATTATAGGCCTGCCCTTTCTGCAAGCCTTATTTTATATTCAAAGATAAGATATTAGCAGTTGCTCTGAAGCAGAACATCTAGAAACAACCTAAATGACCAATGGGAGAATGGTTAAAGAAATTCTGACGCAACTCTACTGCGGGATACGGTGCAGCGGTTACAGAGTGAAATAGACCTATCTGCGTTATAAGCACATTCTTCCAACTTATGAAGTGAGAAAATACATATAGTAAGACCTCACTTGTCAAAAAAGTATGTATGTGTATAGATATAAGTGTACATATAAAGAGTAGCAAACCCTTATAAAATGCTCACTCTGTGCCAAACACTCTCTAAGCAGTTCACATAAAAACTCAATCCTTACAAGAACCCAGTGTCATCCTCAGTTTTGTAGATGAGAAAAACTGGGATCATACATGTCGTAAGTAGTAGAGGCTGGGACTCAAACTTTGTCTAGATTCAGAGTCTATGTTTTTAACTTTTATCTACCTACCTACCTATTTAATTCATCTACCTGTGTTTCCATCCACCTATACATCTTTCTTTTTATCTGAGGTCTGGAAGGATATAGACTTCCAGGGAAGTGATAAAGAGCACTTGCTCTTTTTATTCTATGTATCACTTTCACTTCTGCTTCTATAAACTTTTGCATTACTTGCAGTGTCATAGTCAAGTTTAGAACTTTGGTACTGGGCCTATCTGATATACAGCTCAGGAGTTGCAAAGAAAAAGTTTTATGAACGAGTTGTCCTGCCCTGGCTGGTGTGGCTCAGTGAATTGAGTGCTGGTCTGCGAACTAAAGGGTCACCAGGTCCATTCCCAGTCAGGGCACATGCCTGGCTTGTGGGCCAGGTCCCCAGGGGATGTGCATGGGAGGCAACCATACATTGATGTTTCTCTCCCGCTCTATCTCCCTCCTTTCTCCTCTCTAGAGATGGATGGATAAAATCTTTAAAAAAAAAACAAACAAACAAGTTATCCTTAAGTGGGTACTAAAAGCAATGTTAATAATTTACTTTGGGTGGAGCCTTAAATATAAATATGATTCATATCTTTGAGAGCAGGAGACATGACATCTTTTTCTTTTAATTTTAACACCTTACTCTTTCAATAGCACCTGCAGTATCCCCATGAGCACTCCATGTTTCATTTACTGACTGAAAGGAACCTATAATTGAAAGTTTCTTATTAGGGCAGAGCTATAGTTTGAGGCTATAGAGAGAGGCTAGAGAACTTCAACAGCATAAAAAAGATCCAGTCAGAAATGAAGAATACACTAACTGAAATAAAGAATAATTTATAAGGAAACAGCAGTAGAGTGGTTAAAGCTGAGAATCAAATCAATTATTTGGAGCCTAAGGAAGAAAAAAAACAACCAGTCAAAACAAGAAAAGGAAAAAAAAAATCCAAACAAATTAGGATAGTATAACCAGTCTCTGGGACAACTTCAAGGGGTCCAACATTTGCATCACAGGGGTGCCAAAAGAAGAGAAAGAGCAAGAAATTGGAAATCTATTTGAACAAATAATGAAAAAAAACTTCCTTAATTTGGCAAAGGAAATAGACATGCAAGTCCAGGAAGCACGGAGTCCCAAACAAGAGGGATGCAAAGAGGCCCACTCTAAGACACATCATCGTTAAAATGCCAAAGGTTAAAGATAAAGAGAGAATTTTAAAAGTAGCAAGAGCCCTGGCTGGTTTGGCTCAGTGGTTGAGTGCTGGCCTGCGAATCTAGAAGTTGCTGGTTCGATTCCTGGTCTACCGCACATGCCTGGGTTTCAGGCCTGGTCCCCAGTGGGGGTCGTGTGAAAGGGAACCATACATTGCTGTTTCTCTCTCTTTCTCCTTCCCTTCCTCTCTTCTAAATATGAATAAATAAAAATTTTTCAAAAAGCAGCAAGAGAAGTTAGTTACCTACAGGGGAGTACCCATAAGACTCTGAGCTGATCTCTCTGAAGAAACCTTACAGTCTAGAAGGAGTTGGCAAGAAATATTCAAAGGCACAAAAATCAGGAGCTGCCCTGGCTGATGTAGCTCAGTGGATTAAGCATGGACTTCTGAACCAAAGGGTCACCAGTTCGATTCCCAGTCAGGGCCATGTGCCTGGGTTGCAGGCCAGGTCCCCAGTGCAGGGCCCATGAGAGGCAACCACACACTGATGGTTCTCTCTCTTTCTCCCTCCCTTCCCCTCTCTCTAAAAATGAGTAAATGAAATCTTTAAAAAAAAAGCTGGAACCTACAGCCAAGATTGCTGTACCCAGCAAAGGTATCATTTAGAATGGAAGGGCAGATAAAGAGCATCCCAGAAAAGGTAGAACTAAAAGAGTTCATCATCACCAAAACACTATTGTATAATATGGTAAAGGGACTTAAGAAAAGAAAAAAAAAACTATGAACAATAAAATGGCAAAAATACATATCTATCAAGAATTGAATCTAAAAAACAAACTAAGCAAACAAGAACAGAGACAGAATCATGGATATGAAGAATGTTTTGATGGTTGCCCAGTGGGAGGGGCATGTTGGGGAATGGTTAAAGAGGTGAGGGGATTAGCAAGTACAAATAGGTAGCCATAGAGTAGCCAAAGAACTTATACCCACGACCCATGGACATGAACCAGGTGTGGGGATTGTCTGAGGGAGTAGGGGGTGCTGGGTAGAGGGTGGCAAAGGGGCAAAAATCAAGACAACTGTAATAGCATAATCAATAAAATATAATTATAAATAAATAAATAAACAGTTGTAGAGAACTGACCAGTGCTTAACCAGCCACGAATAATGAGTATTTCCTTTACCCTTGCAAGTACTAGCATCCATACACATTATTTGCTTATATTTCATTCTAATTTGGTGTTCAATACATCTCAGCCCATTTCCCCTGTGAAGTATTCATTGGGTCTGTATTTCTAAGCTTTAGATCTAGGATTTAGCTTCCTTCTTGGGAAGACTGACAGTTACAATAGAGACTCTATGCCTGGCCTTTTGTACTTCACATTCACTGAAAATGTTTGTATTAGTTCACTATTTTTGATTATTGCAGGATGCCTCGTGTTGCTAGAAGTTACTTAGTGTGCCTTTACATCCTGCTTATTTGCCTTTTAGTATCTTTTTATTAAGAATTCTGCCCTGGCTGCTGTGGCTCAGTGAATCGAGTGCCCACCTATGAACCAAGGGGTCATTCGATTCCCATTTGGGGCACATGCCTGGGTTTTAGGCAGGTCCCCAGTAGGGGGCGCACAAAAGGTAATCAAACAATGTTTCTCTCCCTCTCTCCCTCCCTTCCCTTCTCTCTACAAGTATATAAAAATAAAATCTTTAAAAAAATCCTGAGGTGGCTCATGCAATTTGGTGAAATGCCGTGATTTTGAGATATCTCTGTGGGCTTTTAAATATATTTAAATCTATTTCTAGGTTTTCATTTACTTACATAAGCACAAATGTAGAACTTCTGATTGGCAAAATTTAAAAATGGTATTTTCGTTCTCTTAGGCTGAAGAGTCATTCACTTAAAACTCCACGCGTAAGACGCAGTCTTTATCTGTGACTCTACCATGGAACTCTGGAAGCGAGTGACACATAAGGAGTGACCCATAAATTATCTTTGAAAAAGAGTGGCTGATTTTCCATAAGTGTCTTTATTTTAATATATGAAGTGTTATTTCACAAACAGATAAATAGATACACAGATGAAGATACTGAGAAACACAGAGGTATCCAAATCCTGAAATAATGTAATGTGAGAAATACTGGATTTCTCACACTTGTCTTCACTGATTTTAACTCTCTTTA